TCAAAAAATGTGTTGTGGGTTACAGTTAAGATTAATTTAGTAGAGTACATATACACTGGAAAAACAATCAAAGAGCAACCTACAAAAGAAATGCTAGCACCAAATCCAGAAAGTAACCAATCTTAAATGAAACTATAGAGCATAATTAAATGCTGACTTCTGACTTCGGTCATCTGTTGACGTTCCCTCCTTCAAGTAGTAGGGACCTGACAAAAGAGGGCTGAGTATTTACAAGTGCCACTAATAATTAATAACTGAACTGTTGGCATAGCCTGGAGTGAATCTGCAGCACACAGGCTTAGTCTACATTGTCTGTTTTCACCCTGTAGGCACAGGGGAGAACACTTGCCTTTTTTGGCTTGGCTTATCTTTAATGGTGTATGAATTTCTATGCATTTTACAATAGTTTAACAGTATACTTAAACAGCATAGTGGTTATGAGTTGACTGCTTAAATGCAGAGGAATGCTTTACAATTGGAGACTTATAACATTTTAGGAAGAAATTGGAAAATAGGCAATATAATACACAAGTATAATTTATTTCCTGTATCATTTTACAGCAGTTTAACAGTATACTTAAACAGTATAGTGCTTATGAGTTGATGCTTAAATGCAGAGGAATGCTTTGCAATTGGAGACATAACATTTTAGGAAGAAATTGGAAAATAGGCAATATAATACACAAGTATAATTTATTTCCTGTATGGTGTTTTTTCACCCCAAGCCCCAGAAATGGCCGAAGTATGGCATGCTGCTTGAAGGAGGTTCATGCAGGTTTAGGCACAAAGTTTTATGTCCCAGTTAGGTGATCTCATTTTTCTTGCCCCGTGCTGTAAAGCCTACAAACCTTGTTAATTTGGACATACTGTGGGAATGAATGAGGTGAAAGAGCCCTGAGATGGGTTGCAAGAGAGAGAAAAGTGACATTTTTCTGGAGCCCATCCTGTCTGTGTGACTGTCTCCTGCAGGCAGGTGTCCCTCCCTGCTGAGGTAGGTGGTACACTCCCAGTGTAGTGGGAAGGTGTTCCCAGCTGGAATAGTTGTCAATGCCTTACTATCCTAGAAAAGCAGCAAAGCTTTTATTGGAAAGCTGTGTCAGTCTGTGGATGCAGTACCTGGGCAATCCCATTACTATGGCATGTGGCGTTCCAGGGTTGAATTTTCACTTCCTTTGTGTGACTTTGAATAAAACCTTTCTGTGAGAGGGTGTTCTGAATAAACCTGTGCCAAGTGTGAAATACCAGAGGTGACACAGTGGGGTTCCTGTGATCTTGCTGGTTAATGTTTGTTGGCTGGGAAGTGATGACCGCTAACATCGGCAAAGTGAAGCTGGAGACTTAAAACCATGGTGGTGGGTGCAGCGTGGGGGCTTGCCCACACTTATGGGTATGGCACAACTACAACTAGTGGTATGTGGGCAGAGCAAGAGGGGGGGAAAAAAAAGGAGACAAGACCAGGGTTACTGGGGCAGTGATCTTAATGATGCTGTTTCTTTTGTGAAAGGGTGTTGAGAAGGTATTTGAAGACCACTGTGATAGCTCTGTGTTATTTTTCTGGAGCTTCTCCAAAATCGAGAGGATGGGTGGGTGGAAAAGAGAAAATCTGAAGGTATACATGTGAAACATCATTAGCTTTGGGAGGGGTATGATTAATTTCCTGGCTTTTTGCATCTGAGTCACAAGGCACACACTGGTGAGCACACAAAAAATAGTAAGCAGCAGCCTCAAGTGGAGTTCTCAGAAAGGATTTGTGGCTAAGGGAGGGTTTTGGTTAGGATTTTTTGGTTTGTCACTTTGACTGTTTAAGCAGCCTCTTAACCTTGTATTTCCACGAACCAAACCACGTTGTTGGTTTTGGAAACCCGAGCACCCCAGCCGGGTGGGCTGCTGTTGATGAGGGTTTTCCCCCCGTGCAGGATCCCTGACTCCATTGGAAGGTAGAGTTTGGCAGCAGAGCCAAGCTGCTGTGAAGTCTTGCAGCCAGCAGAAGGGGAGGCTCTGCTGTCTTCCCTGCTGCTGCCCAGCTCCCATGGTTCCCCCAATACACATGTACAGCAGGCACAGTTCAAATCCTGCTCCTGAAAACATCTTTGTCTAAGTCTTACCAAGTATCAGTGTAACGTGGGCTTCTCAGTCACTTAGTATTTTTGGAGATGTTTCTCTGTGAGACATCTTATTTCTTCCTTGATAAGATTACTTCTGAGAGTAATAATAATAATTCCTCAGTTGGGTGACCCACTGTGTACGTGAGGAGGATGGGGCTGAATCCCATGTCTGTTACACACCACCAGCTCCTGGTCAGTAACAAACCACACAGTGAGGAGTGCAGGACAGAGCTTGTGTGTGTGCAGGTCAGTTATTTGGCTCCTCTGGAACGTGCAGCCCCTGATGAGGCTCTAAGTGTGGTGCTGTGACACGTGAGAAGGCTCATTTGCTGTAGCTGTGATGAGTTTTTGTACCCATATCTCTCCTGTCGTTTGGTTGAAATGTTTAGGGTTCAGCTTTTTTGCTGGTTTTTATTCTCTTAGGAAGGGATGTTCTACCTCTACCCCAGGTTACAGTGTTTTGGTTAAAAAACCCCAAACAGCTCTATACATGAATAATATACATTTGTGTCATTGAAAAGGAAAGTGGAGATGGCAGGCTCCTGGTGTGTTAGATGCACACACAAGGAGAGCCAGGTGTTCACACAAATATCCTCTGAAATAACAAACAAATGTTTTGTATAAATAGCAACTCATTAAGTACTAACATGAGGCCAGAGAACAGTTCAGCTGGGGGCCCGTGGTGAAAACCCTTTTTGCTGTTTTTTATTCTCTTAGGAAGGGATGTTCCACCTCTACCCCAGGTTACAGTGTTTAGGTTAAAAAAAAAAACCAAACAGCTCTATACATGAATAATATACGTTTGTGTCATTGAAAAGGAAAGTGGAGATGGCAGGCTCCTGGTGTGTTAGATGCACACACAAGGAGAGCCAGGTGTTCACACAAATATCCTCTGAAATAACAAACAAATGTTTTGTATAAATAGCAACTCATTAAGTACTAACATGAGGCCAGAGAACAGTTCAGCTGGGGGCCCGTGGTGAAAACCCAGCAGGGAATGACTGAGTCAGGCAGGCTGGCACTCGGGCTGGGCTCCTTTGCTTTGCATGGCTTGGGGTTTCAGAAGGAGGTGATGGGATGGTGCTTTTTTTTGCATTTGTTTTGCACATAGGGTTCTGGAAGGACAGAGGGACATTGCGAAGGAGTACCACCAAGGTGTTTGCTAAATAAAAGCAAGTGAAATGATGGGAAGCTGTTGATTCATCATGTGCTGGGAGTTTTAGCTTAAGTTTCCTTTCGCTGGTTGAGCATCATTAATGAAACCCACCCGTGACAACACAACCTGCTTCCTAGCAGTTTGGTAACAATTTGCTGTTGGATCAGATGGTTATAGCTGGGAGTAAAGCAGGAATCAACACTCTTTGTTGGAGCTGGCAGGGAAGAAATGGGGAGGTGAGGAGCAGGGGACTTGGCAGTGGCATTTCTCTTTCTCAGCCATACGATGCCTGTTGTTCTGCTGCTCAGGAAGGAGCCTGTCCTCTGAATGCAGAACCTGGGGAGAAGGAGATGAGAGACATCATCACCTGCAGGCAGTTCTACAGAGGAGAAAGTAACTGAAGGACAGGTTGTGGATGATGTCAAGCTTGTGCTGCTTTTTTCTGTAGGGGTGCAGAAATCACTGTGACTTAGTCTTGTGGCATTTCTTGTTGGTTTTGTCCTTCCTGTGATTTCCCTTTCTAGGGAACATAGCATCTCGTTGGCTTTGCTTTGAGACTGCCCAGCTTTGCAGGGAACCTTATCTCTTGCTCATCATTCAGCAGCTTCTCTGAATGCTGCATGATATTGTTTTCCTGCCTTCAGGGTGGCTTTTTCCTTTCTGGTCTCTTCTTCCTTGGCCACTTCTTTCTAAAAGAACACAGAAGGACTCTTGACCTGAGTGCACACAAATATTTCCTCCCTTCCTAAGAGCCTTGCAGTTTGCCTGGGCTCTCAAATACTCAGAAAAGTTGAGGAGGTGCCTCCTGCTTGTACACAGGGTTTCTGTGTCCCAGGCAATGTCCTCTGTCTGCTGACTTGTCAGTCAAGCTGTGCCAGAGACCAGGCAGTAGTTCTTTGATACGTGGCTAGGACGTGTGCCCAAACTGTTCTTGCCGTGGCACTGAGACCGTCACAGGCTGGAAGAGGATCCATCTACCTGAAGGTTGCTTCAGCTGCATTTCTCCTTGCTGTGAAGCTGGAGGGGTTGCTTCTAACGTTGCTTCTAGTCAGCTGGCCTGCTTCATCTTTGTGGAGATGCTTTTTGCTGCCTGTCATGCTGAGCAAGAGCACCAAGCCCCTGCAGCAGAGCAGGTGCTTGGGACCAGCACGGCAGCTGCTGCTGCTGTATGGATATATACATGCCCATAAACTGGATGGCAGGTTATACACTGGGCTTTGAACTTTGCCTACATGGAGCTTGGGTCAGAAAATGCAAAATATCCTTTTGTGAGAAGTAAGAAGAAAGGTTTTTACAGCAATAGGATAAAAGGAAAAATCTTATGAATAAAAAAGACTGAATTCACATATGCTGGTTTTTGTGGGATGGTGTCTAAGGTATTAACTGAAGTGTCTTTTGAGTATCATCTTGTAGGTTTTGTTTAAATTCATATGTGCCAAATAATCAGCATATGTTATGCAAGCTGGTTTTGTGACAAAATAATATTTTTTATAACAAGAGTGGAAACTAACATTTTACCAGCATGGTTGGTTTTGTTCTTTTAATAGTTTGGTGTAATTCTGATATTCTTTTTATGTCAGTAGATTTTTAGGTGTATCTTTTGCAGGTTGAGAAGTTTGGATTTTTTTTTTTATTAATTGATTCCCCACCCCTATGTTAATTTAAGCATTCCTTGTTTTGTTTGACCTCCTGGTAGTTTTAAAGTTTTAATTTCTTTTTTTTTTGGTTTTGTTTTCCAGGTCAGATGTACAACTGCCTGTAAGTATCATTCTGTTGCTGTTATTTTATTTTTTACTATATATAACTCTCATTATCTTTATTTCTTTTAAGAAAGATCAAATAGTATCAGTTAAGCATTTTTTTAAAAAACCCTGAAAAGAATTTTTAGAAATGGCATTCAAAAAATGTAAACTTGCTTATTTCAGTGACTGTAATTCCTGCAATGCATTTAAAACTATTTAAAGATACAAACGTGTACTTTAATCCCTTTTGCTTTTCAGTTTGTAAAGAGCTCTGGTAAAAATCAAGTACTGATACAGTGTGCTTAGAAAGATTGGCAAATGCACTTAAAGGCAAGACAAACTCCAAAACAAGACACCTGCAGTGATGCTCTAAGGTCTCTGCAGTGAGGATAGTGACTGCTGTACTTGCTGAGATAAGTTCTCCTGAGGCAGAAATTTCCACAAGCTCTTGCAGATGAGTTCTACCTTCTTAGTGAACATCAGCCTTGCATGAATTAGCCTTTCAGTTCTAGGGCCTGAGTCAGCTGTGTCCACACTTTGGGCTGCACCACATCAACCTGGAGTTGTTGTCTGTAGGTGTATCACATCTTCCTTTCTCATGGGAACACACTGTGGGAATATGAGAACTTTTTTGCTCATACACTGAGGGAAAGGGGCAAAATTGCTGTACCAGGTGAAGTAAAGCAGCTACCATCTGATAATATGTGAGGAGCACACAGGTGCAGAGTGTGTTTGTTCAGTTCTTCCCAAGCAGAGGTGCACTGAAGGAAAGAGCAGGGCACAGTAGCTTTCATCCAGCCCGTGAGTAGAGTCGTTGAACGACCACAGTGATGTGGCAATTCCTTCACCTAATTCAAATCATCTCAGAGAAGTCCAAATATAAAAATATGTATAATATATATAAATATGGGAAACACAGAAGCTTTGTAAAGACACTTATTGCTTTGTATTCTGTCTTCCAGGCACTGAGGACTGCAGCTCACGAGATGTAACTGCAGAAACAGGAGCCAGTAGTAATGATAATTTATCAGTAAACTCGACAAGTGGGGACAAAAGCTATGGAGGTGGAAGATGGCCCAGGGATGTGCCACTGTCTGACAGGGCAACAAGAGACTGGACCAACGACACAGGTGGGTGGTTTGGAATGTGACTGGGATGTGAATCTCCAGGGGGCTGTGTGCTTTGGTACCACCTTGGCATGTTAAGCCCAAACTCTAGTCCAGAGTGCAAAGGGCATTGCAGGGGCGCGGGTCCAGCGGCTTGGCTGGAGGGGAGGGGGAGCTGAAGAAATGTAGCTGTGCAGCTGATGGGGAGGCTGATTTAATGCTGCAGCCTTGAAGTAGTTCTGTCACTGTTGGGCCTGGCCTGGGCTCCCTTCCCTGCTTACTATGGCTTTGTAGCTTAGAGCTGCAGCAGTTCAAACAGACTGTGACATGTAGATTGGGAACATGTACATGTAGCAGTCCAGCTGAAGGACTCTCCCCAGTGTAAAGAGGGCTGTATCCTCTGTCTATGGGAGAAGTGTGTGAGCCTTGCAGCCAGAAGGGCTCTTCTCTTTGGGACAGCCAGCTTAGGAAAAGGGAACAGCAGGATGTGTGCTCCTGAATTTCTCAGCACCCTGCATGAAGCTGGCAGCTCAGGCAGGACAGTAATCACTGCTGCACCCAGGCAGTTACTCCTTGAGATGAAGTGGAGTGAGACTGCAGAAATAGTAAGTGAGAATTGCAACATCTAAGGATGGCTTGGGTATTTCCCCAGGCTGATTACTCTTTTAGAGAGACCTGTTATTTGGGTAGAGCAGGGAGTGAAGTCTTTTATATGTTTGTCAGCAAATACACTTGAAGATTAAAAGATTTTTTTTCGTTGTCTTCTTGCCTTTCCCAGAGCCCAGCCCAATCCAGCATCTCGAGGCAGAATATGTTGGCATGACTTCTGTCACCTTAAGGTGGGCAGTGAACAACACCAGTTCCAACCCCTACACGTACAGGATAGAGGTTGTCAATGGAACCTCTGGCTGGAACGAGACGTCCAACGTCACCCGAGCTGAAATCAGAGAGCTGCTCCCTGGGACAGTGTACAACTTCACAGTGTTTGCAGTGGTGGATGGTGGTCAGACTGAAGGAGGAGGAGTGTCCATAAGCCTGTGTACAGGTGAGTTGTGGTTCCTTGCAGCGTTGTTTTTGGTGGGCTGTATTTTCCTGTGCAGCTCAGGGCTCTGCCTGTACAAGGGCTGTAATTCATTCCTGTTGTGGATAAACAAGTTACTTTAGTCCTGGAGTGTGATCTGGGCAATAAGCAAAGGATGGGAAGTTAGTGTGCAGCAGAAACATAGCCCTGAAGGTTTTCTTTTATTTTTAATTGTCTTCCTTCCCCTCCATTCATCCTCTCTTTCCTGCCCACATTTCTAGATCCCTACGGGAAACCTTGGGAGCACTGGCACTGTGGTGACCTGTGCTCCTGCTTTGCAGTGTCAGAGGGAGACAAATCCTCCTCAGAGTGACTGTTTTGCAGTTCTCTCTTAGCTCAATGTTGGTGCAAAAGCCTCCAGGAGCAGCTGGTGATGATGTTGGGGTGCTCCTGCACTCTGAACAGTGTGTGATGGGAAGAGAGTGAAGTAGTGGTGTGCCTGTGTCTGTTCTGTGTATGTGAGCAGATGTTGTTGCAGGCTGACAGGTTGTTGTCTTGCCTTTCCCAGACCTCAGTCCAATCCAGCATCTCCAGGCAGAATATGTTGGCATGACTTCTGTCACCTTAAAGTGGGCAGAGGACAACACCAGTTCCAACCCCTACATGTACAGGATAGAGGTTGTCAATGGAACCTCTGGCTGGAACGAGACGTCCAACGTCACCCGAGCTGAAATCAGAGAGCTGCTCCCTGGGACAATGTACAACTTCACAGTGTTTGCAGTGGTGGATGGTGGTCAGACTGAAGGAGAAGGAAAACCCATTATCCTGTATACAAGTAAGTTGCAGTTTCTGTTCTGCTGTGAAGCTCAGAGCTCTGCTCATCTGCCTGAGGGGTAAGATACAAAACTGTCGTGTTTAGATACAATGCTTTAAACCTGGAGCATAATCAGGGCTGCCCACTAAGCATGGGGTCTTAATGTGCAGAGGAAGCATATCCTGCTTTAAAATAAAGATGAGAAACAACCAGCCAAACAAAATGCACCTTTTCTTCTCCTTCATTCTCATCTCCTTGTGTGGAAGCTAACTTCTTATCAGGACCCAGTGAGCCAACCAGGAAAGATGCCCTCCTGTACTTGCTCTTTGTGACTAGAGTAGGACTTGTGGGACACGTGATTGTAGGTGGCTGTCTTGGCCACAGTCATCATGAAATGGTTGAATTGAAAATTTTCAGTGTAATGAGAGGGAAAAAAAACCCACCAGAGTTGCTGCTCTGGAGTTCAGGAGAGCAAACTAAGCTATTCAGGGAACCACTTAGCAGAGTACTCTGGGAGTCTGCTTTTGAGGGTTTAGGAGTCCATAAGTGCTGGGCAGTCTTTAAGAACCACCTTTTAGAATCAGAGGAACAGGCAGTTCCACTGTGCCAGAAATCAAGCAAGTGGAGCAGAAGACTGGTGTTGCTGAGCAGGGAACTCCTCGTGGAGCTCAAGAGGGAGAAGAACTGATCTCTGGAAGCGAGGTCAGGCTTCACAAAAGGAGTACAGTGCCCTGGTTTGTATGTGCAGGGAGAAGACATGGAAGGCCAAAGATCAATTGGGGTTGAAACCTGACACAGCATCTCTTGTGTCAGGTGCAGAGCTGGCTGAAGAGGAGAGCTCAAAGGGTAGTGAATGGGGCCACATCTTGGTGGCAGCCAGTCACCAGTGGTGTTCCTCAGGGCTCAGTTCTAGGGGCAGTGCTGGTCAGTATGTTTATCAAGGATCTGGATGCAGGAGTTGAGTGCACCATTAGCAAGTTTGATGATGAGACCAAACTGGGAGGTGTTGTTGACTCCCTGAAGGGACAGGAGGCCTTGCAGAGGGCTCTAGATAGATTTGAGCGTTGGGCAACAATTAATGGGATGAAATTTAAGAAGTCCAAAGGCCAGATTCTGCACCTGGGACAGAGTAATACCAGGCACAGAGGAAGGCAACAAAGCTGGTGACATGGCTGGAAGGCATGACCTCTGAGGAGCAGCTGAGGAATCAGGCGTGTCTAGATTGGAGAAAAGGAGATTGAGGGGTGAATTTATCACTCTCTACAGCTTCCTGAGGAGCCAAAGATCAATTGGGGTTGAAACCTGACACAGCATCTCTTGTGTCAGGTGCAGAGCTGGCTGAAGAGGAGAGCTCAAAGGGTAGTGAATGGGGCCACATCTTGGTGACAGCCAGTCACCAGTGGTGTTCCTCAGGGCTCAGTTCTAGGGGCAGTGCTGGTCAGTATGTTTATCAAGGATCTGGATGCAGGAGTTGAGTGCACCATTAGCAAGTTTGATGATGAGACCAAACTGGGAGGTGTTGTTGACTCCCTGAAGGGACAGGAGGCCTTGCAGAGGGCTCTAGATAGATTTGAGCGTTGGGCAACAATTAATGGGATGAAATTTAAGAAGTCCAAAGGCCAGATTCTGCACCTGGGACAGAGTAATACCAGGCACAGAGGAAGGCAACAAAGCTGGTGACATGGCTGGGAGGGACGAACTCTGAGGGGCACACCGTGTCTAGATTGGAGAAAAGGAGATTGAGGGGTGAATTTATCACTCTCTACAGCTTCCTGAGGAGGGGACATGGGGCGGGAGGTGCTGATCGCTTCTTCCCAGTATCCAGTGACAGGATGCATGGGCATGGTTCAAAGCTGCAGCAGGGAAAGTTCAGACTGGACATTAGGATGCATTTTGTTACCAAAAGGGAGGCCAAACACTGGAACAGGCTTGCCAGAGAGGAGGCCAATGCCTCAAGACTGCCAGGGTTTAAGAGGCATTTGGACACTGTCCTCAATCCTATCTTTTAACTTCTGGTCAGTCCTGAAGTAGTTGGGCAGTTGGGCCAGATGGTCAGAGTAGGTCCCTTCAAAGTGGAATATTCTAGTCTAGTCTGTCTTTTTCCTGCCTGACTCTCTAGATCCCAAAATGAGGCACTGGGACTCTGGCACCATGGTGACCTGTGCTTCTGCTCTGCAGTGTATCTGAGTTCTGATTCTGAGTGAATCCCCCTCAGAATGACTGTTCTGCAGTTCTCTCTCAGCTCCCTGTTGGTGCAAAAGCCTCCAGGAGCAGCTGGTGATGATGTTGGGGTGCTCCTGCACTCTGAACAGTGTGTGATGGGAAGAGAGTGAAGTAGTGGTGTGCCTGTGTCTGTTCTGTGTATGTGAGCAGATGTTGTTGCAGGCTGACAGGTTGTTGTCTTGCCTTTCCCAGAGCCCAGCCCAGTCCAGAATCTCAAGGCAGAATATGTTGGCATGACTTCTGTCATCTTGACATGTGACTTCTGTCACCTTAAGGTGGGCAGTGGACAACACCAGTTCCAACCCCTACACGTACAGGATAGAGGTTGTCAATGGAACCTCTGGCTGGAACGAGACGTCCAACGTCACCCGAGCTGAAATCAGAGAGCTGCTCCCTGGGACAATGTACAACTTCACAGTGTTTGCTGTGGCCAGTGATGGTCAGACTGAAGGAGGAGGAGAGACCATAAGCCAGTATACAAGTAAGTCAAGGTTTCTTGCAGCCCTGTTCTTGGTGAGCTGTATGTTGCTGTGCAGCTCAGGGCTCTGCCTGCCTGCCCAGGGCTGTAATTCAGTGCTGTTGCAGGCAGAGGTGCTGAGCTTTGCCTGCCTGCAGTCAGAGGTGTTGTGTGGAAGAGGGTTAGCTTTCTATTGAAAAACAAAGTAAAGCAATCCCCCTCCAAAGCAGCTGTTGTTGGTTGGGGTCACCAAGGCCTGTATACACGTAAGTCAAAGTTTGGAGCAGCCCTTTTCTTAGTGGGCTGTATTTTTCTGTGTCTGCCTGCCTTAGAGCTGAAATATAACAGAAGCCTTATGTGGGCTGTCTGCTAAGGTTGAGGTAACATATGGAGGAAATGTAGCCTTGAGATTTTTGTTTTATTTTATTTGAAGCCATGGAACACCCTTTAACCACCCCTCATTTTTCACCCCCTCTGTCTCCCCCACCTAAAAAGCCCCTGCAACAGCAACAAAACCCAACCAGCAAACCAAGAAACTCCAAGCCCTTCCTTCCCCTCCATCCTCCTCTCTTTCCTGCCCACCTCAAGATCCCCAGGAGAAGCCTTGGGAGAGCTGGCACTGTGGTGACCTGTGCTCCTGCTCTGGAGTGTCAAAAGGAGATGAATCCCCCTCAGAGCAACTGTTCTTCAGTTCTCTCTCAGCTCAATGTTGGTGCAAAAGCCTCCAGGAGCAGCTGGTGATGATGTTGGGGTGCTCCTGCACTCTGAACAGTGTGTGATGGGAGGAGAGTGAAGTAGTGGTGTGCCTGTGTCTGTTCTGTGTATGTGAGCAGATGTTGTTGCAGGCTGACAGGTTGTTGTCTTGCCTTTCCCAGAGCCCAGCCCAGTCCAGAATCTCAAGGCAGAATATGTTGGCATGACTTCTGTCATCTTGACATGGATGGTGATGGACACTGCTGCCAACTACAC